AAAAAAAAAATTGTTTTTCATTTCATAAAGTATGTGCATAATTGTTGTTACTAGGATGGCAGAGTAAAGGAGTTCTTTTGTTAAAGTGACTCTTGAGACGCATCTTAGTAACCATTCTTAACAAGGTCTATTATAATACTTCCTGAAATATTCAGGTTTACAAACTCTCGTATTGTTACCACTTAATTCTGCTCATATACTTATTTAACATGTATTTTTAAACCTTAATTTACACACACACACTTTAACATTTGATTGTGGGTTGCATATTGGATTATTACATTATTTATGTTCTTTTGTTAAAGGTAACAACTAAGGGAAAGGGATTGTATATAATTAAAAAGAAAAAAAAAGAAAAACATGAAAAAAAAAGAAAAAGAAAAAGAAAAAAAATGATGATAATAAAAATGTAGATAAGTTTGGTTTCGTAACCTCCCTAACCTAAGCAATTAAGTCCGAAGGGGTGTTTTAACACCTAATACCCTAAAGTCAACTGACTTGGGAGCTATTGGCCCAACGCTTGTTACATGGGTTGAGGAGAAAAGCTTAAGGGAATCAAACATTGCACTATCTACATATCAGTATCTGCGACCCGAGTTACTAAGTTCGTAGGGGTGTCTTAACACCTAATGCCCTAAGACCAACTGGTTTGGGAGTCATTAGCTGAAAGCTCGTTACATGGGTTAAAGATGCATGATGTTTTTAAAGTATATGTATATAGAGTTAAAAAAAAAAAAAGAAAAAAAAAAGACAAAAATAGTAATCCCAACCCAAGGAAGTTAACCTTAAACATTAGAACAAAAATTTTGTTTTCTTCCAAGAAAAGCCCCATAATTATGTGTTGATACATTGAGCACAAAAGAAAGGTTTATTAATATCTTGTTAAGTGGTATTGAGCAGATATATAAATTTAATGAGAGTTTGTTTATCTGGATAGACTAATGGAAGTTAAATGATGAATACCTTGCTTTGTGGAATATACAAATTGTTTTTCTATTTTACGCTTTGATTACTAGGGACTAGTAATAAGCTGGTTGGGGGGTGTGATTAGTACTTAAAAGTGCGTTTTTATCATGGTTTTATATCATCATTTTGCACTTGAAGTATCAATAACTCCTTAACTAAAATATGTTTTATAATAATGTATCTAATAAGATAAGATACCTATAATTTGTGGTAAATGTCTATTTTTAATGCAGGTCTATCACATAAATGAAAGGATTGATTGATGACTTGAAGAACTTAAATTGCATGGATAAAGAGATGGTCAAACTTAGAGAAGAGATGTCGGTGCAATCCAAACCGGAACACTGTTCGGTAATTAGGTTATATTTGGAGCTACAGATCTCAGATTTAGGTCCAATTTATATGGATGGAAAGGTAAGACATAGGCCTACAACTTTCATATGGAGCCCAAGATCTAAAAAGGCCATTATCAAGTCCAAATTGTAGCAACAACAAAGAAGCCCGAATCTGTCTTCCAGCCCGAGCACTGTTCGGTATTTTGGCCATATCTGGAGTTCTAGAAGTCCAAATGAGCTGAATTTGTTACACAAGAAAGCTGAGACAATTGCCTACAACTTTCATGTTTGCAACTGGCTCCAGTTTTGACGTTATCAATGATGTTTTGGGCAGACAAGAGAAGATAAGGATTGTCACCAAGTCAAAAGTTGGCCACCCACTTATCAATTAGTCATCAAATCAATAGTTCCCAATTTTGGCCTATAAAAGGAGGCATTTGCCATGCATTTAGGCATCTTGGTTTCCAGATCAAGATCATGCACTTCCTTTCTCTCTTTGTATTTTTTGTAATGTTTATGCTTTGCTTTCATTAATATTAAGTTTATGCCTTTCATTTCCTTTCCATTACTTAGTTAACTTTTATGTTCTTATTTTGTTTATTTGTTTTCCTTTCTTTCATTATGTCTAGCTAAGTTAGTTATGTCAAGGTGAAAAGGTTACACTAATGGTGTAAGAATAAGTATAGTGTAAACTTAATATGGACTTTAATGTTTGATACTAACATGTGTTATATTTGTTATCTTGTTCACTCTTTAATACTTTGCTTGTTAAATGAATAATCTTGATTTATGTTGTATAACAATTGGTACAACAAATACTTGGCACTTTCATAGCCCATACTGTATCGTATAACCGACACCTGAGCTATGAAAGGAACTTGATTTGTTGTTAACATAAGTTATAATCATGAATGCTTGACGAGATTTACAAGTATTAGCATTAATTGAATAAGATGACTAATGTAATCATGTTAACAATATATAATCTGATTGGAACCTCCTTTGTGTGTGGTTTCCAAATCAATAATAAGAGTTTATACTATACTTGTTTGATATACCATTAGTGGAACCTCTTACCTTGACATTTGTTATTATTATTGTTTAATCCTTACATTAATTTCCCATCTCCAAGTTCTCATCATCTTCTTCTACTTCTCTTTCTTTATTATTATTATTATTATTATTATTACTACTATTACTACTACTACTACTACTACTATTATTATTATTATTATTATTATTATTACTATTATTATTATTATTATTATTGTTGTTGTTGTTGTTGTTGTTGTTGTTGTTGTTATTGTTATTGTTATTGTTGTTGTATTATTGTTATTTATAATTTGTACAATTAACCTCCCTGTGGTTCGACCCCGGTCTTGCCGGGTTATTTATTACTTCGACACTCCTGCACTTTGGAGAAGACATCAATCTTTTAGTTGTGTCAGTTGAGTTTTACTCGGTGCCTCATAAGTACCCGCGGTGTCCCAATTTTGAGCATTTTCAGCTAACAAGTCTAAGTACTCCATTGCTTCATCATGGTCTTTATCTTCAAAAGTTCCATTGCACATCAATTCAACCATTTGCCTATCTTTAGGTGTTAACCCTTCATAGAAATGTGAAACCAATCTCCATGTTTCAAAACCATGATGAGGGCAAGTACTAAGCAAGTCTCGATACCTATCCCAACATTGGTAAAATGTTTCTCCTGGCTTTTGAGTGAAAGTGGTGATTTGTCTTTTGAAAGAGTTTGTTCTATGAGATGAGAAAAACTTTTTTAAAAATTGTTGTTGCATTTCATCCCAAGCACGAATGGATCTTGGTCTTAAATTTTGTAGCCATGTTTTAGCTTTATCTTTTAATGAAAAAGGAAAAAGCTTTAATCTGATGGTGTTCATGCTACAATTTAAATTATTATATGTATTGCAAACCTCCTCAAATTGCCTTAAATTCTATGTATGGAATTATTATATGCTACAAGTATGGATTTTCCAATTCTAAGCCATGAAAAGAAGGTAAAAGTTGAATAATACCTGGTTTAAAATTAAAATGAGATGCATCGGAAGGAAAAACTATGCATGATGGTGCATCTGTTCTTGTGGGATTCATGTGGTCTCTAAGTGTTCTAGCACGGTTATTCTCATTATTCTCATTATGAAGTGATTGATTATCTTCTTCGGCCATATTTTCTGAAAATGAATGAAGTGATTGATTATCTTCTTCGGCCATATTTTCTGAAAATGATGAGGATACCCTACAAAGTCTACCACATGAAAATGATGAGGATACACTACAAAGTCTACCACTTGATGTACGTGACCACACTCTCATGCATGTGTAGAAATAAAATAAAAATTGTGTGACAATGTCAATGCTGTTGCATTAGCTTCTAATCCTGTTTTTCATTCACGCACAAAACACATCGAAATTGACTACCATTTCATTAGGAAAAAGGTAATTTAATCATGATATCCAAGTCCAGCATACTTCAATACAAGATCAAATTGCAGATATTTTTATAAAAAATCATACAATAAATCAATATTATTTTTTAAGAGACAAACTCTGTATTTGTCTTTTTCTTTATAGTTTGAGAGAGGTGTTAGAGTATTGAATAACATAACAATCTCATCAAAATCCAAACAATCAAAATAGAACTAAGTATATGAGAAATATCAGAAGAAGATAAAGAAAGATTAGAAAAAGATAGAACTGTTATCGTTTAAATTTTAAATACCTGTGTTTACCCTCTTTTTAAGTTTATATATATATATATAGACACACACTGTCAATCATAATGAATTAAAAAAGATTTATTTTTTCAACCTTTATTAGTATAATTTTCTGGAATTCTTTCAAAGAACATCTCATGATTGATAATGGGATACTATTTATCTACGGAAATTCAGAAATTTTCATCTAAATTTCGCTGACCTTGCGTGCATGCAAGTCATCATGAACAATAAAGCCAAATGAGATAATAAAATCAAGAACGTCAAATTCCAGCTATTTACTTTGCTACGATGATAAATCATCAGCTATCTAGCATGCTAAAAAAAAAACCATTATTTTGCTGTTCAAGGTTTTCTTTCGCAACAACCATTATTTTGCTTAAAAAAGGGCAAGATTTATTGTCTCGTTAGTTACAGGTGACCTAACACAAATTCCTTCTCTTTTTTTTGTGTTTTGGTATATAATCATGGCTTAAATTATAGATTTAGATTAATTTGAATAAACCCCACTAAAAAAAAATTATTATAATTTTTTTTTTAAAAATTATAATTTTATAATTTATTTTGATATATTTTCTATAAAATTATTATATAATTATTATTCATATTATAGATTTACACTTTAACCCATATTAATTCAATACATTATTATATTAATATTTTTTTAAATCATTCTATCATAGTATTAATATATTAAAAAAATATCAAAAAAATATATTTTCAAATAATAGTTAAATTTTTTATTACAAAATATATTATCAACCTTAGAACAATTTTTTTCTTACGTTGAAAAAAAAAAAATCTTCCGATGCTCTAGTGCTGTAGTAATAAATATAATTATCTCTAAAAAATTAAATAAAGGGCTTTGCTTTTCGGGATTAAAGAAAAGGGCTATGAGCTGCTACTGCTAGTGGGTTGGGTTGGGACGTCACAAGGCCGAAAAAGTGCTTTCTTTTTAAGGCCTAGTGGTTTGAATTTTGAGGTGATGATTTCTTGATTGGCAGTATCAATCTTTCAGTCTAAACCTCCGGTCTTATGCTTAGAACTCGCTCGCCCACCCACAAACAATAGCATCAGCAGCCGCATATTCTCTTGATCTGCATCAAGATGGAGGAATTACTAAGAAACTAGAGCACCCTCTTCTTATTTCTTGCTCATAGTTCACTTCTTTATAGGGCCATACTGTAAGCTCTCTCTCTCTCTCTCTCTCTCTCTCTCTATATATATATATATATATATATCTGTCACTTTTTGAAAAAAAAAAGAAGAAGAAATCTTGCATGTTAAAATTCGTGGTATTTGTTTCTTGGTTTTGATGCAAAAGTAAGCTTATTTATCATATGTTTCTTGATGGATGTTTTTTCATTGTTCATTGAAATATGGATAATTTGTTGATATTTTCAAGATGAAAAAGTAGTCCCCACCCCACCCATTTATTAGCTTGGTTGCTTGCTGCGAGTCTTTATGCTAAAATAAGCTTCTCCAACCTACATTGATGCCAGGCTAGAAGTTTTGAGAGACTTCCTTCGCTGAAATATGGGTTTTTTTTATAATCATTTTCAAGCTCTTGCTGGTGTTGGGGGTCATTGCATGATTGTTTAAAAATTCTAGCTAAACTAAATTTCTCTGAGAGTGATTGATTCTTTTTATTTTATGTTAGAGAAAGGGGCTTATTTGTGTTGCCTCTGTAGTGGATGTTATAATTTACAAGAACAGTTTGAATCTAAACGATTGTTTTTGTGGATTTAGTGAAATACTTTGTGATGGACACAATCGAAGTGCGTAAAAATTGCCACTTGATGTTGGATTTTGATTGGACATTATTTTGTATAACTGGATTGATTCTTAGATTGAACTTGTTATTGAGCTTGCTTGTATTCTACTTTAAGCAATCTGGTGATTCTATCTTCTTAAATTCTCGTAAACGAGGTTCTCCCATTCTCCCACGTGGTTGTTTCTTGGTGGGGCCTGATATTTTGTCAATTCTTCCATATTGCCCTTTTCTCTTACATAATCACGGAATCCATGATTGCATAAATCAATGTTTTATTTGTTATGGTTACGTGATGGATTTAGTTGTATTTACGGGGGTTGCAAATATATCACCTTTGCATGGCTAGTGCAGGTTCAAATAATCCTCTCTCGTCTTTCTTTCCTGTAGTAGCTTTAAAGTATTGCTAGCTTGGAAGACCTTATTAATTCTATCTGTTCATTTGTGATAAGGGAATGCACTTTTCACACAAACCATTCTATGGCCTTATATTTGTGCAATAATTCTGTAGTTTGATGGAAGCCCAATCAGGGAGGGATTTATGTATCAATTGGTACAGATGGATGTCGATGTTAGTGATTGTCTAAGGTTTTCGCTACTCGGAAAATTATGCTCAGTTTTTACAATCTCTCATGTCTCTTTCATGGGTTCTGGTTACTTCTTAATTCGTAGTTGCTGAATTTCTTTTACCTGCTATTTGTTTCATTTAAGTCACACAAATTCTGTTTTAGGATTTAACTCTTTTTCATAAATGGTGGGATCTACTTTTGTTTTCATATGTTAAAATTCTAGATTACCTGATTGATTTAATTACTCTTTGTATTCTTCATGTTAGAGGCTTCATTGTATTAAATGCATTAAGTTCTTTGTTGATACTCAATATCCAGCATGTTACATTGTTTTTAACATCCAGCATGTTTCATTTTGTTTTGTAAGTCCATAAGAGGAGGCATCGACGGGAGCTGAAACACCAGCTTTTCTATTTTATTTCTGGGATAAATGAATAAGGGTGCTCTATTCCTGCATATTTACTATTTTTGGTGCACAGTGCAATTTATCCTTTTCAGAAAAAAAAGAGCCTTTCTGTTAGTCATACTGCAAGCCATGCAGCTAGCCTGTTTGATGCTGGCTTGATGCTGTATGTGTTAGTTTGTGAATCTAAATGTTTTGGTCAATATGCCTATGCTTAGTTGTTTGTACCTGTTAGTTAAAAATTGTTGGTATTTGACAGGGGCGAAAATCTGTGGCCATAAAGAGAGTTTGTCGCTTCTCTATATTCTCATGCAACTAGGTTTTCTTTGCTTAAAGGAATCTTGGACATGGGAAGTCTGTATTTTCCATATCATGTAACAGGCCATTAAGTTTAGCCAGAAAAATAAAAAACAAAAACATAAAATAGAAACCACTATTTTTTTTTCTTTTCATATACGCATATCATGGTGGTGGAAAAATTATATGTTCTGAACCTCATCTGACTGCATCGCAATCTGCAAAATTTCAGCTTCATTTTAAGAACCATTTAGGTCCATTACTGTACTGTGAAGTAACTCTTTTGGATGGATTGGAATCAATAATTCTTTGGCTTGGTGAATGAGTTTGGTTTTTGCAGTCCATAACTTTTTGAATTCCAAAATTATGTGTCATGAACCTTATCTAACAGCATTGTGAACTATAAAATTTCAGCTTCATTTCTAGAATAGTTTAGGTTCATACTGTATTGTGAAATGGTTCTTTCAGGTTGTTTTGGATCAGTACTCTGGCTTGGTGAATGAGTTTGGTTCTTACAGTAACTTTTGAATCAGCAGATGGGAGGTTCGAGATGCTTAATGCTTAATGCTTAATGCTTGTTATTATTTTTGAGACCTTTGAAAAATTTATCTAGACAAGTTGCTTGAGGTGTTTTGTTGAACACAGGGCATTCCACTGATGCCATGAACCATATAGAAGATGAGTATGTTCCCATTAGAGATGCGGAGGATGCCCAACTGGGAATGTTTGACAAACCACTTCCTTGCTTTGGCTGTGGAATTGGATGGTTTTCGTGAGTATTGCTTCCCTTCTTCTCCCTTAGTGCTCACACTCATGGATGCTTCTTTCTACTGCTGCCTCTTGCTTGGATTTGTGTTCCCATTCTTTTCTCATGGATGCACCGTTTCTCTGAAGCCTTCTGCTTGGATTTGTGTTCCCACTGATGTGGTACTTCTCAGCAATTCTCTACTTTGGGAAGTACTATAACAAGGATCCAAGGGAGCGATCTGGCCTTGCTGCATGTGCAATAGCTGTGAGTGTTGAGCTTAATTATTAATTTTTTTGTAGCATGGTTTTTCTCACTATTTTCGTTCATGCAGCTGATGTAACATCAAATATGATACTTGTCTTCTATTATTACTATGCCATTATTAAAAATCAATAGCTTGGGAAAAACATGAACTCATGGGTTCTAGCATTGGAATAAAGGCTTTTGACAGAGCATCATGATGCCAGTGTGTTAGATTGCCATTTAGTTCCAAGTCAGAATGACTTTTAAAATGTTACTCATTCTGTCCTTCAATTCATGGTGTTTCTTCTACTGTTTGTTTTACATGGGCTGCTCCACTTAATTGATGAAAGAAGCCTTTCCAAACCCAAAAGAGGTACAGACTGAGCTTTTCAGGAATGAAATAGGTATCTACAGGACAATGAAAAGCAACTGGGTGGTGTCATTGTAGTTTCCTAGCATAGAAAGAGCAGTGTTATGATGAGGTGACAGTTCATGTCCTTTGTGCGGGGCACACATTTTTCAATCACATTAACACTTTTACCGTGAAGTATTTCATGATAGGTATCAAAAAAGTTGTCTGGAAACTGGAAAGTACTTAATCTTGGGAGAGACCAGAGGTTCAACGTAGTCTCAACCATTGTACTAATTGCTGATCCCAGAGGTGTATTGAGTTATCTATTGGACATGTTTGGGATGAATCTTTGTGTTTATCTAGTTTGTTCATGAAGTAATATGCATGCACTTATGTCTTTTATTTTATTTGATTTCCATTTACTATGAACATTGCAGGCTATAGTGTTCACAGTAGCTGCGGTGATCACTTTGCTCGTTTATTTGTTGTGATTCTTGCTTCTACAATTTCATCTTGTGGCTGCAGTGTATGTTTCTAAACAATAAGATGAACCTGATCGTGAGCTAAGGCTCTCGTGCTCGAGTTATAATAGGCCAAGAGGAAAAGAATATCAGCACGGTGAATGATCGAGCTATCTTAAATCTGTAGCTGCAACTAATTTCTCCAGTCTTGTACATAATACAAATGTGTTGTATGATGATGGGCAAAAAAAAACAGAGAGAAGAAACGAAAGAAACAACGAAACTGTTAAATGCCCTCTTAGTGTAAGTATGTAAAGTGTTTATATCAAACTTACAGAGCAAATCACTCTGTATTTTATGCGATGATGCTTTAGAAAATGCGACATTCCTTGATATATTATTTCAGAGTTTGCTGGAGGCAGCAGCTAACTCAAATTGTTGCAAACTGACAATTGAAGTTAAGTGACTTCCAATGTGAAAATTCCCCATGTTTATTTCATGCATGCCTTGCATTTTTTTTAAGCTACTCAGGATCTTAAAAAGGCACGTTGCTTGTTCGCAACTGGGATTTCATGTCTATTCGAACCATTTCCTCCCTGCGGTTGGATGAGGTCCATGCGGATGCATGTAGCAGCCAGAGCTGCAATTCATGACCATGAAAAGAAGACGATTTGGTGGACGGTGTGGTTATATGTAGTAGCAGTGGTAGAACTTCCGCCTCTGGATTTCGTTGTAGTTATATTTGCTTGTAATTAATTGGTTGATTACATGTAATGTTATTATATTTATGAAAATATTTATTTCATTTTTAATAAAACCTTAACTTGTTTTTAATATTTATATAATATAATATTAGATTAATAAATATAGTATTTGATTTATGAATCTAGATTAATAATAGAATTTATGGGATAAAAATATTTTGCAAAGAAAATTATAAAGTTGTTATAATAATGAGATTTTTACTTTATCAAAATATTATTTCTAAAATGTTCCTAATTGATGTTTTCTTAAATACTAGATATTTATTAGAGTTGTAGAAATTAATATATATCATATTCTTTCCTTTATAAAAGAAAAGAATTTCTCATATGCTGAGGTATAAGAGATATCTGCAATTAATATGGTGTTTATCATAAAACATGTACACTGAATTGATCTAATATGAAGGTCTTTATCATAAAACATGTACACTGAATTGATTTGTATGAGAATTCTATATGAAGAGATCACTTATATTTATGAAAGATTTACATAACAATTGTGCAATTGATCCCTAGATTTGAGATCAATAAGTTATTTTATATAGAAAATGTTATGCTTTAATCCTATTATATGTTATCTTAATCGAGGTGACGAATGAGCATATATTAAGTATAACATTAACTATATAAAGGTAATTGAGTGATAAAAAGAGGATTCATCACCCTAGGTGAATTAGAAAAAAAAAAACATTTCATTTATTCTGAATTAGTATTTACTGAGAAATCCTTAATCAAGGTAGAATGAGATGTGAAAAGAATTTCAAATCTTATTTAAATTATCAATGACTATTATATAGAGAACAAACATGATTTAACATGGCAGACAAGTTTCATGCCTTAATGTTAAAAATAAACATTATTAATGAAAGAATATTAACTATACTAAGAAACCAGTCATTAAAAGGTTAAGTCAAACTACTAATAATTTTTTTAATATTTAGAAAATCATGACACGTTGTTAAATGACACACCTAATCTTCAAATATAAATTAATCAACATATTAGAAACCTAGTGGATCATACATATTACCATTAGTCAGAAATTAAATTAGGATAATTAATCAAGTGTTACTTGATTAAAAATAATTTTAGAAATTAAGCACTAGAATGTATTTAATTTAGGGATAATAATTTTAGTCCTGGAATAATCAAGTAGGGACTTGATTGATTAAATTTCTAAAATTATCCTTAAATAATATATGGGAATTATTTAAGGGCAAATTGATATTTTATAAATATATAGGGTTTTTTAGATTTTTCTATAAATAAAAGGCCATATCTCTTATTTTTTTGGAGTGATTGTCTGCTAAATAGAAAAATTACATAAGTCACATAATAAAGAGTTGACACTTTAGACATAGCAATCCCTCTCTTCTAAATAGGAATTTAGCAGATTTCTCATTGGTGATTTTTGTGGATTACTGTTGGAGGCTGAAAAATTAAATGTTGACACGACCAAAAGATTGATGTCTTCTCTCAAGCGCAAGAGTGTCAAAGTAATAAATAACCCGACAATACTAGGGTTGAACTATAGGGAAGTTAATTGTATAAATTATAGATAACAACAATACAATAACAAAAGTAACAATAACAATAACAATAACAATAATAATAGCAATAATAATACTAATAATAGTAGTAG